TTGGGAGGCTTTCCCCATCAGCCTCTCCAGTTTCTGTGGTGCTGAGGTGTCCACTCTATCCTCATCAGGAAGGTGGCTCACCTGCCTCTCACAGTAGTTCTGGCCCCCACCCCCCAGCATCTACCTATCTGTTAAAGCCATGAATTTGGAAACTAAATTATGGGGTGTCTTAATTTGCACATACATATGCATGCACTTCACTTACATAAAGCATGCTAGCAAATCCTTTAGTTCCTTGTTCCTCCTCCCTCCCCAAACCCCACTACTTCTGCCCTTGAATCTAGCCCCCATTCCGCTCCCAGTACTCTTTGAACTGGCTCCCCCAGGGACCCTCCCCCACAACCACCTCCCCTATCTCTGTTCCCCATGTTCTCCCTTCCGATTCTCCCCTTTGCTTTATGTACACCTTTGAGTTCCAAGTCAAGGGCAGCGTACATTCTCCTGGATCCAGGGAAGGGATAATCATAGACCGGTGTGCCATGCAGAACTTCATCTCCTTGAGCTATTTGTTGAGGGTCTGAAGGTGGAGGGTGAGTCTGAGACCTGCCCTGGCTTTGGTATCTGAAAGTATCAGGAATAAAACTTGCACCAACTAGCAGAAAGGGATATGGGGGATTCTGCCAATGAGTTACATTTGCAAATATTCCCTGCCTGCCTTTTTGCCATCTTGCTTTGTAGCAGTGGAGGGCTCTCTGCTTCACTCCCACTGCGAAGCCTTCTTCAATGAGGGCAGGATTTTTCCCTTCCTGTGCCCACAGCTTCTAATATGAGTCCTCATGTAATTGTGCAGAACCCTTTTAAACCCTAGATCCAGTATGTGACTCTCTCAGCCACCTTCCCTGAGTTCCTTACTATACCCTGGGTCAGTTATGTCCTTTGAGTTGTTTAAAAGGTCACTGGTATCAATTCAATTGTTCGCTCCTTTGTTCTCTTTTGGGATGGGGCAAAAAAGGACGGATCATTTCGAGCTGTGCTCACCTGGGAAGTTCCGGTACAATTAGCTAAAACTATTGCATTAATGTATGTTGTTAATCCAGGTCCCTGGCTAAATGTCTGCAACCCTCCCAGAGAGGTGGCATGCAAGTGAGTAGGGGTGAGGAGGGAGGCTATATAGAAATGTCACTACTGATGCAATTCTACCCCCTACTGGTTACCCATGGAGTGGTACAGCCTCTTGGCTGCTTGCCTGAGTATTTGATTAAAAGAGCTGTGTCAGAATAAAGAGAAAACAGGTTGTTCAGTAGGGGGAAAACAGAGAGGGGGATAAAGGACCTGGGGAGGGGGTGAGGCTGAACAATTAACAGCATTCTTAGAATCAGCGTGGAAGCAGAGCTCTACTGAACCTGGAGCGTTTTGACTAAATGCGCACACACAGGCACCACAAAGCAAAACACTGGAGTTTCCTTGGAAAGTTCAGTGACCGTCCAAAAGAATCTCCTGTCGCGTTCGTGATAAAACAGTCACTTCATGCCGGGCGAGACTCATCGCTTTCATTTGCTTTGCCAAGCCGATGGAGGGTCAATAGCCACATGTCTTTTAGGTCTCGTCTCCGCCGATGCAGGATATCGGGAATGGGGGCGGGGGAGGGACCGCCTACTTTTTTCATTTAAAAACATGAAAAGAGACGGGGGAGGTAATTTGCAGAGTCATGTGGCAGCAGAGTCACCGTTTTAATTGCGTGTGTGTGTGTGTAAAGCTCGTGTGTGCAGCAGTACGTGGTGTGATTAGGGATTTAGCAGCCAAGTCTATCCTAAGTTAAGTGAATAATGATGAAAATTACTATTTGCAGCTGAAAATGCCTGTGAGGCATTCATAAGAGCTGATCGAATAATGGACCCCCTGAAACCTGCAGTTTTGCTCACTGCTCTCGTCCTAGCAGGGGGTCTCTTCTTCACTTCCCATCTCAGGGCTGGCTTCACGGTTAACCACAGTCCCAGTTCTTTTGCTCATGGGAGATATTTTGCATTGACCCCCCAGAAACAATGCACGAGCTGGAAACCTAATTTGCTTGCAACATGTTGTCCCTAAGTCCCTGCAAATAGGACATAGCTGAGCAGCAAAATGGATCAAACAGTTTGATACAGGAAAATACCCTCCGATTTCTCCTGCCCTGTATTTATTGTTATCAATTCCTAACCCCGGTTTGGTGCAGGAGTTTTGCTGTCCCTTCGGTGCAGAAGGTTCTTAATTACACTGATTTCCCTGTGGGCATCCCTTTATCAGAACCAAAGCCAGGAGTGCAGAATGGGTGTCGCTAGCCGAGGTCAGTTGAAGTCTGTTTAGTGACGGTGTGGAGATGTCTGAGAAAAGGAGAGGAAAAGGCAGGCGTTAGGACTCAGGGGAAATCTCTCGTCTCTGTCTCTCTCCCCCTCCCCCTGCTCTCCCTCCCCCTTCTTCAATCAGTTTGTGCTACTCATCAGATCAGGATAGCAGCTTCAGCGTGGAGATACATCTCCAACTCTCTGATGTACCAATGCAGGGGATATTTGCCAGGCACACAGAGAGACAGCTGCACTGCTACAGCGGGAAGGGAATGTGAACTCAAATAAAGAATGAACCGGATTGCCACTATTGTCTTTCTGGTGCAGCTGTTGCAAAAAGCAGAGGGGCAGGTCTTCCCAGGTGAGTTCATCCATTCTTCACTTGTTCTATAGGCAGCCCTCGCGCAGGCTTTCAACTTAACCGGGGGCAGAGAGTGAGCCAGCGATAAGGGGGTGGCAATATACTGCGATGTGTCTGTTGGGGGCTGGATTGTATATGGACATTCTGTCCGGGGTTAAGTTTGCCTTTTTGCGGTGATTTGCTTGCTTTACTCTTCGCGTGCATCTTTTCGGTGTGGTGGGTTATTACAAAAGCCAGAAGAGAGCTGAATGCAATGTATTGAATTATGTAGGATCTGCCCTTCCCTTTCTTCTACCCTTTTCCACCTCGAGCTTTTTTTCTGAAGGAGCATGGGCTGGAAAGAATAGATTCGTCTCTTCAAAGCCCAGTGGATGGCAAGGAAAAGAGCAATCTTATTAAAAGTCCTTTAGAATGATGTTTGTCTTCAAAGTCATAATAGCGCCTCAGCACTAACTCCCCTTTTAAAGGGGTTATTTTGTTTGCTTGCCTCCGCAGGAGATGTGGGTTTTATATACGTATATATTTTCTCTCTCTCGGGGAGGGGTATGTTTCTTTAAAAGTTGTGGCTGGTGTGAAATGAAAGCATCCCTTTCATGCTTGGAGTCAAGACAGTTGAGTCCTTTTTATAGTGAACAGTTGTTCTGAATCAAAGGCAGGGGTGAGCCTTGGGGAAAATGTGCCCCCTCGCTGTAAGCCATTATACGGTACCTTTAAACCAAAGTCGGGCAACACTTTTTAGAAGTTCAGTGGCAGCTTTGCTCCTTGCCCTCCGGGGATCCCAGAGTTTGGATAACTTTCTCTGCCTGGCTGAGATGCTTCGACTTCTTCTTTCACACTTGTCAAGGATGTCGGTTATTTTAATCTGTAGGGAGACTGTTTTAGAGCAGAGACTGTGTGTAGCCTAATAGAAGCTATCCCCCCTCCCTCCCCCACGCCAGTTCCTTCGGTATATCTGGAATTCCTTCAAGATGATTTTTCTGCCTCTTTCTCCATTTTTCAGGTGGATCAAAAGGGGGAGAGTGGGAGTGATTTCTGCTTTCCCTGGTGGTGTGGAATCAATTTTATTTTGCTTCAGTTCGCAAATGTTTAAAACAAACACACACACCCTGCCCCTCACCCTGTATTTAATGTTTAAGATGAGTAAAGACAACTTCTCTGCTCCTAATTGCCTTTGTGGACTGGAGATGATACATCTCACCCATTGAGGCTTGGCTATTTGCATTCCAACCCTTCAGCAGGGGTGCCCAGGACGCTGGGGTTCAGTGCTCCTTACATGGTGAGGAATTAAGATGCTAAGAGAGATCAAATGACTTTTATCCGGTTTCTTTAAGATATAAATATTGGGCAGCTCAGCAAAGGGGGCCGATGCAATCAGACCCATGTTGTAAAGCTGAAAGAATTTTTTTTTCACTGTGAAATCGTTTTAAAGAAAGTTTGGCGTGAGGCTGGGTGAGTCGGTAGAAGAGCTCCTATTCAGCTCTGAGAGGTACAGGCTCAAATCAATCCGATGCTGTTTAATAACATAACAAATGTATATTTAGAATGCTAGGCAACGGCACATGTTATCAGATTTATTAAAAACCACTGGGAAATGTAACCTTGCTAAATAGCTCCTTTCATGAGTAAAATGGAGCTTATGGTATTTTTTATTACCCATTTTTAATGACTGTTCTGAATGTGATGTCAGGATATATAGGATTGGGGTTGACCTAAACTGGGGCTAGACCCGAGGCTTGTGATCCCCTTTGATGAATCACTTAGCTCGCATGCTTAGAAAAAAAAATCCGTCTTTAAGTAAAATTGCAAACTTTTTCGTGGAAGGGAGACGTAGGTATTGGAGCGAATAAATGATACCATAAAAGGCGCAGAGCAAATGCAAGTGCACTGAAAGCAAATGGCTAATCCTTTCCAAACCAGGATGGAAATATTCCATTATCATTGTTAGCTAAGTGGGGAAGCTCGTGTTTGATCTGCCTGATTGTTAATGTCAACTTTCACCTCCCACTTTAATGCCTGCCTTGCTATTCAGAATGAGAAAATGATCTTATTTATACATATAAATATGACTGCCGAGCCACTTCCATGAATGAGGTTATATGGAAAGTGTTGCCTCTTTTTTGATTACATTTAACGGCTGAGTTCTTAATGCCCTGTAACCAATTTGCACAGCTAATATTCTGACAATAAAAGCAAATGTGCAGAATGTCCACGCACCCTGCCCCTCTGTTGGATTTCAATTAAGGATCCAGTTGTGTGAAAGATTCCGTCTGTTGTATCCAATGCACTTTTGCTGTCTTCCATCAGATGGTGCTGTCTTCATAACTATTCGGATGCAAATACCTCTTGACTACTTGCTGATGGAACGATTTTTTAAATGCTTAATGTGTTTATTCAGCAGCCTTTTGTTAAACAGTCTGAAAAGTCATTGTGCAAGAAATGGGCTGCTTTGGTTTGTTTTTCTGTATGTTAACACATGTAAAAAGGGGGAGGCCAAGAGTTCAGTGTTCAAGGCAAAACAACACTGAATCCCTTCCTGTGGTGCCCACTTACTTTCCAATGCTGCTGCACCATAAAACTTGGTATCAGAAATACTGGTGGAAATATAACAAATGGTTACTGGTTTCCTGCTTGTACCACTTGTTTGATACTGGGGGACCTTTTTAATCCCTTTGTTGGCCCTTCTCCTTAATACAACTGTGGGTTGCGCTATTTGTAACATTTTCCCTCCTCTTCTCTCACCAATTATTTTTAGTTGCACACAATTTCGAACACATCTTTTTATTTATAACACTGCAGATCTGCTCTTGAGGTTTTAAACTCTCTTCTTGCTATAGGTTCCAAATCTAATTAATCCTAGTGAAAAGTAGGTAGAATACACCGCAGTGAAATCCCAAGTGTATCTAGCAACGGCTGATCCTCATTTCAGAAGATAAGGGACTTTCCTTATGGGGAAATACTTTTCCTTAAAATACCTGCATGTGCACAGCACATTTTCTTCTTCTTTTGACATATGGAATTATCCCTACAACTGTCTTGTGCTCCTTGATGCTCTCTTCTTATTGCGTGTGGAAACCCTGCAGATTTACAACCTTGAAATAACATTCAGGAGAAAACTGGGACAGTAGGTTGCATGGGGATTGTTCCCCTGAACACAATGGCCACATCAGTTTGACACTATTGTTTCGCTTGATGGCAATCTTGATTATATCACAGATGTCCTACCTTTTACCCTGCTTTGCCATAGTGGAGCTCTTGAGCATTTGGACATGTATGAGGTGGATGTTTGCAAAGATTGATGTCAGATCATAAAACCAAAACAACAAATGATGTATTAGAACATGGTGTATGTGGGGAAAGTGAAAAGGGGGGAGGCTGGAGAGAGAGATTTAGGGGTGATTAATTCATTTACTAGCAGATATGTAAGCAGATTAGTAAATTGGCAGCGAAAAATGGATTTTACAGCATAAGCTACTCTATGTGGCAACAGTTAACAATGTAGCCATTTAACTCACTAATCACTTCCCACTCCCTCTGGGGAACTGTTAGCAGCACAGTTCAACTTTATTTTCCTTCCTGCTGGCTTGATTTCCCTCCCCCCCCCAATAAATGAACAATTAATATTAAACAAGGTGCTTTTTCCACAGCCACAATAAAAAGTCTTTGTGTGGTAAAGCCCAGCTAGTTCTCAACCTCCAGGTCAGAACCCATTGTTTCTTTTGCAAATGACCAACATCATCTACGCCCCACTCCAGCCTGTTTCTTTCATTTTAAATTCTAATTGTGGAATCCTGCAGTGTCCTCCCTGTATAGTCCTAAATCCCTACAGTTTACAGTAATGTTATGGGAATGGTTTTGGACGATTACTATAGAATACTGTAGTATCTTCTTTAAATAAGGCATTGCGATCTGCTACTCCCAAAACAATGGTGGTGCCAGAGATGTAGATATGAGGCTTTGTGGAATTTATAGAATGGGGTTGGGACAAGAATTGTTTCTTATGGGAACAAATATTCATGTTGTGTATAAAACCTGTTAACTAAAGAGAAGAAAGGAATATAAATCGATCTGTTCAGTCTACTTAGCCTTGAAGGATTAATTCCTAGATCAGTGTCTCTTCATAATTTTTTCTGTATTGTCTTTCAATGCTCATTATTATTATTTTATTATTTATTATAATTATTAGGAGTGTAATGAGCTGTTCTGACTGGTATCTGCTTTGCTGCTGTGGTTATTTTATTATCTCATTAATAAAGAGATAATAAAAAGAACAATCGGTGAGTGTTGCTTTTGGGCTGAATGGGATGCACTGAATATAGGGAAGAGTGTGGTTTTATATGGCTTTGGATACTGATGTTTGACTATTTTAACCCTAGGGGCTAAGTAAACACCTTTAACTCTGTTTGAAGTCAGCATAACTTGGCATTTCTGAATATCGGGCGAGAGGTGTCTAAAAGCAAGCACCCAAGATTTGAGGTGATTTGAATTAATTATCTCTGGGCTTATTCACTCATCTGAAAAATAAGAATAATACTTGTCTATGATACTCCAGAGAGAGGTGCTCTGAGATCTGATCAATATTGCAATGCCTTCTGTGATCTGTGGCTGAAAGGAGGTTAGGGAGTGTGTATGCTTATGCAAAGTATTTGTACTATCTATAATAGGAAGCAAGGTGATGCATTTCCCTGTAATTCTTTGGATGCCAGCAGCTCCAAAACTGCTGCCTCAACTTTCTGTAATCAAGCGGTTTGAAATCCAGCATGTCAGCGTAACTGCAGAGGAGGACTTTCTTACTGAAAATCTGAAGAGGGCCAGGTTCTCAGCCCATGGAAGTCCACACACAACGGAAAGTCTGGTCTGGATTGCCCAATGTGAGATTCCCTTCAGACTTTTAATGCTGGCTTGGAAGTTGTGAGTTTCACCTCTGTGAAGTGTACAGCTCTTACATTGAATACGTTTGGCATTAGCCAGCCTTCAGTTGTAATTCTGGAGTAGACTGCATT